TATTTAGGCCATTAGTTTGGCTGTAATGTTTATTAATATTAGTTGGGCGGAGTTTGGTAGTTTTTTATTTAACTTGTGGTATGTTGTGCTGATTGCGGGTTGTTCAAACCTTTCAAATGTAAGGACCTTATTGAAATCAACCCTACCCCTACACTACCCTACATACGACTGGACGCTTTCCAAGCCCACAAGCATCACGACGCCGAGATGGAATGTAGCCGGGAAATCACCCTCGCCATCTGCTCTAGTCTGCTCTAGAGCTAATCGTGTGGGGCGGCGTGTGGGGCGCCGCTTAGCCTATGGGGGTGCACTTCTAGTGGATGGGGGACGGGGGTGCACCTGCACCCCTTGCATATGGAAAGTTACTTCCCTGATTACAGCTCCCCGTATTGCACCTAATCAGGGAACGGCCAGCAAACGAAGGAACTATTTCTGGATGACAGGCGAATAACCGCTCACGCAAGGAGCGGAGCTCCGCCCCGTCCAAAGTGGCCAACAAAGCAGAGACAGAGGCAGCATCACATCTTCCATCAAAGAACTGGTTTCTGGCTTGGAAGATGAGCTCCATCTTTGCATCCGAGTCGGTGCTGTCAGGAATCAGCTGGTCTAATGGAGTGAGAGTAGTGAGACGACTAGCCATTGTATCAGAGCTGCCTGGTCTTCGTAGCATTTGCACCGATTCTTCTCGATCGGACTCTGAATTCTGTCCCTCCTGCGTATTACTTGAGGCATTGCTATGTAGCTAAGTCTTTGACAGAGTTTCATTATCCATGCTTTGCAAACAGTGCCATAACAACTCAGTTAATTAATCACCAAGCTTCTTTGCAAGTTCCAATACAGTTGAATCGCACGCGATTTGAGTGCAAAAATCAAGAAAAGTGCCAACTTGTTCCCGTAAAATATTTTGAATATTGACCTAAAAAAATGAGTAATTACCAGATAAAATAACAGCGAAATCAGTTTTCGCTTGCCAATAAAACTCACAGATATTGAAGCTCCATTATTAAAGGAACATTTTAGTATATGCCATTCTTGATAAAACTTCTTAGCCACGCAATACCAGCGCAAAATAAAGAGACACTGAAAACACGACCAATCACTCCGATTTACCATAGGAAAATACATAGAAAATGTATGTCTCAACTGCGCCAAATATACAGACAGTTATATACCTACATGTGACGTCATGATTAGCCCGACCAATCAGAAGCAAGTTGTTTTCAGCCACAAATAATTAATTTCTGAACTAACTAGGCATTTTTTTAACAAAGTGATTTTAAATTAAATCATTAAAAATTCTGAGCTTTTTTATTTTACCAAAACATACAAAGCATGCAGATAGGTCCCAACCCTATTACCGCAAGGTGCACGCCGTGTGCAAAGCACAGCTGGTGCTCGCACGGCAAACTTCTTCCGAACTTCACCATGACCGACGCACCGTCGGTGGTGACGCATGTCACGTGCCGGCTGAGGTCGAGGTCAAACTCTGCTAGTTTGACCCTCAGCAGGTCCGCGCACTTCTCCGCTGGCATAGAGCCATGACACCGAACCACACCGAGGCCCCACACTTTTGCACCAGAGTGCACATTCACGCTCATATATCTTCGATTTCTGAGAGACGTATATTCGTCGATTGTGAGAGAGAACCGCGTGCCTTGCGTTATTTCATCTGTCAGCTTCTGTTTCACCTGACATTTGAGCCTGGCACAGTGCCTCATAACACGATTTCGGTTGGCAGCTGTTAACCCTTTGGCAGCCATAAGGTTGCGCAAGTCCGGTGAGGTGCAAAAAACACTGAACGGAATTCCGTCCCTACCGCACAATCTTGCCAGCATGGAGTCCAGATCATCCTCGGTGTTGGCTGAAAAGTATCTGTCCAGGGGTCTGGGCCTCTTTGCAGCAGGCCGTGATTTGTCCGAGTCATCTTGAGACGCTCCATCCTTCGATGGACCGGCGTACCTATCTGGATGCTGACTCTTTATGTGAGTGTGAAGGCCTTTTGTGGATCCACCTGAAATCTTCAGCACCTTTCCACAGTAACGGCACTTAGCACTTTAGCCGGCTGTATCACGCAGAAAATGTTCCCAGATCGCACTCCCCTTGAACACCATGAAGTCCGTCATCCCGCCGTTCCAACGATTGCTCGGGCACTGAGCTTCTCTGCCGAGCCTCACGCTCATATCGCCCGAAGCATTGTCCCGTCACACTAGGGTCATGTATAGGTGATTTGCTCATGCTCAGAGCCAGACCCCTCCCCCGGCCCCCTTCCACCCCCTACTCGCGTTAGTTGGCATCGGGTACGGGTGTCGTGTTCAACGTCCCGTTTTGGAATCCGAGACTGGGGCCTCTGAGATAGAATCGTGTGACATGGCTGGCACTGCTGTTTTACTGCGGCGATCAATGCCGTGGACTGTAGAGCTTCTGTTACCCCAAAAACAAACCATTGAACGATTAATTGGATGAAAACGTTTCACTTGTAAAAAAATAGCAGAATTTAGCTGCACAATGTGCTATTTTTTTGCCATTCGGGATATCGGGATCCCGGTCATCTTGATCCCGGGAATCGGGACTGACACAGTCCCGGGATCCCGGGATCCCGATCCCGGGATCGACATCCCTATTCCAAATGCACTTATAGGTCGCGGTATACCTTTTTTCGACATGGTACACCCTCAAAGCTCGTAACGATTCTTCGCTTAGGTGTCGCTCCCTACCCCCCCCCCCCGCTTCACCGGTCATGGCTGGATTTCTGCACCCACAATGTTCCAGCCGTTCCTACGCCCATGGGTATTTTCATTTTTCTCCATTGACTTATAATGGAAAGGTCACGCTACTTGCCTGACCTTAGGTCACGGATATAAGAAATCCGAGATGTACAAATAATAGGTGCCCATAACACCATGTAACCCACAGAGTTTGAAACCTCTCTGACAACCACTGCAGGCTGGGCATATTGCAAACTTTTTAGGCTTGGTCAGTTAACTTGACCTGGTGACCTGGCCTGACATAACTAGGGGTAAAAAATCACACATTTTCCCAAATTGATGTGCAGCAAGCTACTTCAAGCGGTGCGGGCGCCGCGGTTTTTATTCGCACGCAAAAAACGCGACAGGGTGGTAACTGGTAACATACGCCCCCCCCCCCCACACACACACACACTGGGGCGAAGGTTAATCACATGATTCGGGTATCTATCCGTGCTACTATAACATTTTCCCTGAATGCTCCTTTTCTTTCACTTCTGCTTTTTTGGCGCTTGATATTTTCTCTGCTCTCCTGGAGAGGTTTCTGATGACTCCGACCTTCACCGCTGACGCGTGATTTGAGTTGTTTCTTATGTAAGTGTCACTTGCCGTTGGTTTCCTGTAAACAGCGGTTCGAAGACCCTGTGCACTGTCCCTGCTGACGCTGTGCACTGTCCCTGCTGACCCTGTGCACTGTCCCTGCTGACGCTGTGCACTGTCCCTGCTGACGCTGTGCACTGTCCCTGCTGACGCATACATCGAGAAAAGACGGTTGGCCGTCTATTTCCTTCTAGAAAAAAATTCGTCAATACCTGAGGTCAAAGGTCATTTGGGTCAGGGTCATGAAACTTCAGGGTAGGTATGAAGTTTATTAACGCGAGGGTACTGGAAATTTTGTCGCGATCGGCCGCTTTTTACGCGAGCTATTCGCGAAAAAACGAGGGAGGGGAGGGGGTCCATTGGACCCTTTCCTATACAGGCGAGGGTTAACCCGCACACCGACAGGGTCCGCGTCAACATAGTTCCGACGGAGGGGATAATCGCCTTCCCCCCCCCCCCGAGATCTCGAGATCTCGAGAACGAAGCAAGATAGCGACAAGTGGTAAACGGCATGGGGTACCCACGGACAAGCTCTACAATTTTTATTGAGGTAATAATTAAGGTAAGGTCAACGATGACGTCACAGGGGTTAAAAGCCAAAATAGCGGCGCTAGGTACGAATATTTTTTCTCGAATAGCTTTCTAAGTAGCCAAGCCAGAAACAAACTAATAGCACCATCGTAATCCTCTCGTCAACCCGCATCGATACATATACATGTTGACCTCGAGAGGTCAGGGTCAAAGATTGACCTTAGGTTACGTAACCTCAAGATCATTATGTATATCATTCGATGCGCCTTGACGAGATGAATACAATAAGACCATCCGCGCGGCTAAAGAGTTATTGGCAAAAAACCTTAGGTGACCTTTTATGACGTCACAATGACCTTACAGTTGCCCAAGAGAAAAAAGGCCTCAAGGTAGTCAAGGTTGATCTTACATGAAGTCATTTATGGTATATTAGGCCATTTCCAAGCGTTTTAGTGAAAATATTAGACAGTTGGTGTCCCCCCCCCCCATTGACTTATAGCTATGTAATGGGGAGGTCAATATTTTTTCTGACCTTATTTAATCGATATAAAAATTCCGAGATACATAAATTGTAGCTAACAATGACCTCATTACCTACATCCTTTCAAAAGACTCCGTCATCTAACTACTGTAGCTCTGACACGGTGACAAAGCTGCAAAAAAAGTGATTTGAGGTCAAGTCATTCGAAGTGACCTGGTGACTTGACCTTGAAAGGTAGGGGGTTCAAACTTGCACACAATGTGGAAAATTGATGGAGAAATAGTCATGCCAAATTGCGCGGCGCATAACCGCTAGTTACAAAAAAAGACCTCAGGGGGAGGCGGATATCCGGCCCAGCAGCGCCCCGGTGCGCGGTCGGTGCGCGGACTTATAGGAACGGTGGTAGGTAAGCTAGCTACGCAGTTACAGCTAGTCAGGGGAGCGGTCACACGCCAGGGAGCAGTCTCTTGCCGCGGTGTCGACTGAGTGCCAGCGATACGCACCACTTGTCGAGACACTAATTTCCGCCTGGCAAAAAGATGAACAAATCGATTAAGGGCAAGACCCTTTAAAGAAAAGGAAAAGAGTAAAAGACAAAGAATTGCTGCCGGAGGGTGGCCGGTGAGGGTGCAGGGGACGCTCACCTGCCGCGTTGACCAGCCGGCGGGCGGTCAGCTGCGCGCCGTGGCCCAATGTGACCGTCCACCGGCCGTCCTCTCGCAGCCGCAGGCCCGTCACCTCGGTGTGCGGACGCAGCACGGCGCCGTAGTGCCGCGCGCCCGCCGCCAGCGCCTGCGTTACCGAGTACGGGTCGATGTGACCGTCGTAGGGGTTGTACAGACCGCCCCTGACCTGCCGGCACGAGAGCGCATCAGCAGTCCAATTTTCATGAATGCATGAGTGAACCGACTGATATTTGAGAACGGGTACACGGACGCAGCAATCCAATTTGCCGGTTTTTTTTCGACTGGCGCCCTTTGGCCACCGAGTCCGACATGGTGACCACCCGTTCGGCAGTTCTGAGTTTGCCGATGGGTTTCTGCCGCGGATGGCTCTGCTTTTTAAGTCCTCTCAAGTGTTATTACGCTTCAACCAGACGTATAACTGAGTAATGCTGGTGCCGAGACCTTTCCGAACCCCTTCCGCTCCAGTCCAGGCAAAATCATCACATGAACGCTTTCCCTTGCAACTCCAAACTCTGTGCACTTTGTTCATTCTGGTCTTATGAAGCGCATGGCATCCGCACCATTCGAAGTCGAGACATGCAGTCCCGCTGGGGGTCCTGGATTGGATTTCCACGCCCTGCTGGGGGGGGGGGGGGTGAACACCCCACTTCTAACTCGGCTCGTGGGCCACGTAGCGATATGGGGAGGGCGGCGTTCGAAAGAGCGTCAAAAAATAAGGAAGAAATTACTTCGGTTACTTTTTGATCAGGTCAAATGTCAAGTCACCAGAGGTCACTGAAGGCCAAAAATCGCCGATTTTCCGGTCAAATTTCGACATCTTTTAACAACTCGGCGCACAGCTCGGAAACTAATAGAGCTACAGCGCGCTGTAGCTCTATTAGTGCCGCGTTAAAGCGCATTTGATAAGCCCTTTTAACCCTCGCCCTGGCAGGGGGGGTCGATGCGACCCCCCCTTAAGGTTTTTCGAAGATAACGTAAAAACGGCGGCGCGCAGCGCCGCCAAATTTGGCACAGCCTATGGGGCAACCTTTTTACATATGACCTGAAAATTTCAGGTCCGGGTGACCTTGGGTCAGGTCACCAGGTCAGAAAAACCGGTACAAGGTCATGGTCAAATTTCAATTTTCTTTTTGCACCTGTCCAGCTCACAGTTTTTGCCCGATTTCCTTCAAACTTTCAGGATGTGCTAAGTTCACCGAGTTGTATAACATATAGTTCGGGTTTTTTTAGGTCACTGACCTGAGGTCAGTTAGAGGTCATTACGTCGTAATGTTAAGCCTATGGGAAAATACTAAATTCGGAAAATACTGGAGATATCCGCTTCGTTCTATCACTTTTGTGCTTTGAAACCACAGTACATAACAGCAGGTCACTTGGTGCTTCTTTGTTTGGTGTACTTATCCATGGGTCAGGTCAAATGAGGTCAACTGAGGTCAAATCACGTTTTTGCCAATAACTTGGCACATAATGACGCTAGAGCTACAAAAATGGTGTCATTGTGTTCCTTGTGATCAGCCGAATCGAATGATATGCAACATGATGCAATTTGGTTAACTTAAACTTAATTGATTAATTAAAGTTTACTTAAAAATTAAGAAAAACTTTAAGTACACTTAAGCAAGCTAAAAAGTATATCATTCGACGCGCCTTGGCGTGCTGAGTTCACTGGTGCTTTTCTTTTTGCTCTATCTTAAATAGATCAACAGTTATAAGCGAAAAACATTTGACCTGTTTTTAGCGAAATTTTGACATTTGTACCCCCCAAAACCCCCCTAAATATTGACCTAGAGCAACCAAATTTGCACAGGGGCGAGAACTCCAAAGGGCCCACCTACCTACCAAATTTGGTGTTTCTAGGTGCCATATGAGCCAATCGCGAGGGGGGGGGGTCGCATCGACCCCCCCCCCCCCTTGCCAGGCCGTGTTATGAAAAATGCCCTGCCAGGGCGAGGGTTAACGTTCCTTCTGAATAATACTTTCATACAGTAGAATCTGCTTAATCAATCCACCTTGGTGATAAGGTGTTTTGGATTTATTAAGTGGTGGCTTTATTAACCCGCGCCCCGCTGGGGGTCCTGGATTTCCACGCCCTGCTGGGGGGGGGTGTTTGAACACCCCCCTTGTAACTCGGCTCCTGGGCCACGTAGCGATACGCGGAAGGCGGCGTTCGAAAGAGCGTAAAAAATAATGACGAAATCACTTCGGTCATTTTTTGGTCAGGTCAAAGGTCAGGTCACCAGAGGTCATTGAAGGCAAAATTTCGCCGATTTCCAGGTCGAATGTCGAAAATTTCCAAGAAGCCAACGCATAACTCGGGAACCAATAGAGCTACAGCGCCGCGGAAAAGCGCATTCGATAGCCCTATTAACGCCCTTTCTGAGTAATTCTCTCAGATTTGACCTAACTTCAACGGTTTTGCCTGCAGGGGGCAAAAACTGCAAAAATAGCCGATTTCTTCGGAAACAGTTTTTCTGCAATAACTTTTGACCCAAGCCTTGTACGAGCTTACTTTAACCGGCATCGTGTTCCTCTTGTCAAGACGCATCGAATGAACTATAACATGACCTTGAAAGGTCAACTTGAAAATTTGACCTCAGGTCAAGGTCATGACCTGACCGGAAAGGGTCATATTGCATATCAGTCGATCCGTATCGTCGAGCTGAACACATCTAAGGCGTTTTCATCGCTCTAGTATGCCTCTATCAAAAGTTATTTGCGAAAAACTGTTAGATACCATTCGTGACCTAAGATGACCTCAGGGCATATACAAGGGTCACGGACACCATTTTCATGTTCAGTGTGTCTAAACCACTTGTAATTCGGTGTTTGGGAGTGTTTATAATGTCTTTCATCCAAAAGAGGCGCATTTCAATTTTCTCCCATTGACTTATAATGGGGAGGTCGCAAAATTGACCTGACCTTAGGTCATCGATATCAAAATTCTGAGATATACATTTTGTACATGCTATTGCTCTTAGCAATCGCTGAAAGTTTCAAAGCGATCGGTCACTCGGTGTAGCTATGAAAGACATTGAAACTTTTTATGAGGTGAGGTCACTTCAAGTGACCTGGTGACCTGACCTTGAATGACCTTGGTCTGAAATTTTCACACCGCGAAAAACCACAAGGGGGGGTGTTCAAACACCCCCCAGCAGGGCGCGGGTTAACCGCATTATTGGGATCGGACCGAGCCAACGTGCGCCCCGCCGCAAGACCTCCTCTAAGAAATTTTCACTGGGGGGGGGGGGGCCAGAGGCTCAGAAGCCAAACCTAGGGTACCCCAAAATCCGGTTTTCTCGTCGGATTTAGGCCACTTATTTTTCGTCACAGCCCTGATGCCATGATTTATATTTCTATTTTGGAAAAAAATAAAGAAATAGGCCACCTGACCCTATACTGGTGGATCCAGACCGGCACGGGCAGGGTGACATTTGGGGTAAATATCTCCCGCAGCGTACTCCGAAATCGACGAAAGTTTCCGGCTTTCCGAAAATGAAACAAAGTGCCTTTATCAAAAAAGTATTCAACGGCACAGCAGTGCGTAAGGAATCTAACCGACCGCAGAAAGTGTGAGGGCTTAGGTACCGATTTCCCAAACGCTGCAAACCAACAGCTACCTGCCTGAAAACAGCTCACCATCCTAAAAAGCTACTTAACCTCACTCTCATTCTATCTAAACGTAAATTCCGGATTCGAAATAAAACAAACTTTTTGAGAAGCTTTCGGCATTGCGCCATCATCAGCTCTGGAGTTTTATTCGCAAACATTTGAGAAAATATGCATTCGGGCTGATAGTTTTGTCTGCAGTTATTTCATCCAGTACTTCCTTCATATTACATAACAGTTGGCGGCGCAAGAACATTTCGTTACACACATGCATGTAGATCGACATCGTATCAAATAAACATCGTATAAGTTAACATCAAATAAACCTCGTATCGTATCGTGCATCATTCTTTTGAACAGATTCTTTTGAACACATAGGAGGCCCAGATATTGTGAAGTAAAACACCTTAAATACATTCATCACACAAACATACAGCGAAAAAAAAAAAACACAAACACATACAACATACAAATAGGACATACACCTTGCAAACAGTTGATCGATGTCGATCAGTCTGTCAGGCTCAGGTACCACGCCGTATCAAAGACCACGATGAGGTTTGTGTGTTAAGGGTAGGTTTCAGATCACGAATGTATATTGATTCCCAAATCTTTCTGTCTGGACCGTCTTTGGAGACATGCAAAATTTGGATCGAGATGTTGTCGCTGCCCAGCTGAATATCTGGATGTTTGGTTTGATGGAAGCCAAAGGGAGTGTCTTCTTTTCTGTTTCTAGCATCTCTGATGTGCTCGTTGTACCTGAGCCTGACAGACCGGCGAGTTTCTCCGATATAAAATGATGCGTTTTCGTCGCACAGCTTACAGTCCATTCGATAGATGACATTTTTTTGGTGACATTTGCCTTTAAGGCCTGCCTCACACCCATTGCACCGCCTACCTGCCCCCGGACACGGTGGAGGAAGGTAGGCTGACCTAACCAGTTTTTTCTTCAAGCTGGGACCTCCCTTCCACGCTACCCTTATGTTCAGATGACTACTCCTGATGATGCCTTCTGTCTTACGGCAGAGTTCATCATCCACGAAAGGGAGGGTCATGAAGGTTTGAGAGGGTTGTTGCTGAGTGGCATGAGTCAGAGAGGCTGATGCTCTTCGGACTGCTTCGTTTTTCAACCGATTGACTAAGTGAGGAGTCGGTCGGGCGTTGCGCCAACTAGCCCAAAACAAAGACATCGTTGTGAAACCTTCAGACAAATGTAAGGGACTAGTGGCAATGAATGCATCGGACTATGTGGAAAAGATGAATTCTATCACTTCCAACTATGAGGAGGTGAACCGTAACCCGATCCCAAGGTTAGAGGCCAACACCAAACGTGTAATTCACCAGACTATGGATGACAAAGTTGATGAAGGTGTAGTAAAGGCTATTACACCGCACTGCTCGAGAACCGCCGAGCTGTATGGGCTTCCCAAGGACCACAAACACGGCATTCCCCTCAGACCGATAGTATCCGCCTGTGATGACCCTCTAGATAAACTGACTTGGTTTTTGGAGAAGGTAGTTTCACAGCTCATTCCCTATGTGCCAGCCCACTTAAAAAAC